GACTACACATGATTTTAGTAGTAATGATAATATGAATTTTGTTTTACCAAAGTTATATGTTACACATATAAAAAACCTAAAATGTGTGTATGGATTTTATATATGAATTTTGTTTTACCAAAGTTATATACTACACATATAAAAAATCCTAAAATGTGTGTATGGATTTTATAATTAAAAAAATTATTAAAAATCAACTGACGTAATAAAATGTTAAGCAAAAAAAATCTTTAGATTATTTTTAAAAGTTATATATTTCATGAAATATAAAAAGTTTTTTTTTTACTAAAAGTTTGTAGTTAAAAAAAATAAAAATCTTACATTCAACCACACATTAGGAAGACAAACGTTTAAGAAATTGTATCTTAAAATCTCAACTATTTTTGTACAATGAACAAAAACCAAAATATATATAAGCTTACCAGACAAAGATAAATGACAAAAAAAAAATATAATACTATTTTAAAAGGAACTACGAGTCTCTTCAACTCTGACTAGCAAAATTCTAAATCAAAGTTGAAGAAGAAAATCTACACCTTACTGATGAAAATATAAGCTTTCTCATTCATTGATTGAAAAAAAATGTAAACAACAAGCAAACAAGATGTTGTTCAGTATATTCTATATGCCACATTATTAAAAAAATTGTGAAATGCTAAGTATAAGATAATAACAAAGTGACATTGTGAAGACATATGAAAGCCAACTATGATTGATAATTCATACAACTATAAAGATAAATTAGAAAATGATTGATAAATTTTATCTGCAAATTTGTTATCGATTATCTAATGGCCTAATATATGTACATAACAAAGTTTTAAACAAATAAATTTTAAATGATAATTTTGATATTTTCATGCATCTTTAAAACTAATTCAAAACATTTATTTATTTGATTTCAAATCAAATATTATTTTATATATCAAAGATCTAATTGTTTTTATCATAACATAAATACTAAATACATAAATAAATATTATTAAACTGAATAAAAGTATAACAAAATTTCGCGTGAATGCGTGGATCATATTCTAGTGGTCTACAATTTGCCACATACCCCATTTTTCTTAACTTTTTAATTATTATTTTTTTTTGGTTATTCACCAAAAAGATCCATTAAAAAAAAGACATTTTGATTTATTTTTGATGATGTGTCGGTTCAAAAATATGTGAGCATGTAAACATATACTCCAAACAATTACTATTTTAAAAATAAAATACCAACATAAATGTTGTTTTATTTTTTTTTGAAAATATGTGAGCATGTAAATTTTGTTTTTCACATATATATTTTAAGATATATTTAGACACATATTTGGACAAAAAAATAAAGAAAGTTGGACACGTTTAAGATAAATACATTGTTTTGTTTTTTTAAAGAATTTGTGTGGGCAACTGTCTTCTATATATTAAAGTTAGACACAGTGGACACATGAATGAAAATTTTTTCATCTTATTTAATAATTGATATAATTATATTATTGTTATTTTAAATAATTTTCAACTATATCATCCACTATTCGAGTTAAAACTATTATGTTAATATTAATTATTTAGTTTAATATTTGTGATAATAAATTTTTTATTAGCTATAAATAAATATATTTATATATCTATATATATTAATGGAAAAACCATTCTAAACTATACGAAGTATACTCCAATTCATGACTATACATCCAAACTAAATTAATGAATCAAAACCTACACGAAAAATTGAATTTGCATGATGACATTCATAAACAAATATAGGTTATGTGGCTAACACCATAACCATCAATTTTGTCACGGTTTTGGTGTACCGCACAACGGAACAGGTAGAATCCGCTTAGACCCGAATTGATTAAAAAATATTATCTCGCCTGTTTAGCAACTAACCCAAAACTCAAACTTATCGACTCTATGTATTTTTAATAACTTTTTTTAAGTAATAGTAGCCTTCTAATATATTTGGAATTACTAGTTTATGTTACTTACGTTAATATGAACCCAGTACAAAGACAAATAAGTGCAATAATGAATTCAAACATAACAAATTCATCGAAAAAATCTGAAAAAACAAAAATCAGTCGATTAACTTGCCAAAAAAATTCCAAAAAAAAGAAGAAGCTGATTATCAAAACATATCAAAATGTGCTTGCTTATATAAAAAAAATAGTCTTTGTAGTTGTTTTATCATCCAAAAATCAATCTAGCCAATTGGCTTCCTTTCAGTGCAGTCGAAGAAATATTCACTTCTACTTGAGCCTCCACTTGGCTTCCATTTGCTTTTTCTCGAGCTTCCTTTCTAAGTCTTTTTCTCTTTGCCCTGTCCGGAGACTGCCAAATAGATTTGTTTTAGGCAGGATTAGTATTGTGGGCTAGTTTGGTTAAGAGTTGAACTTAGTTTGGAATAATTCAAATGATTTCAGATTATATTAACCGGGTCGGATATAAATTAACCAGATCGGATATATAAATGTTATTTTATTTTTTTTTGAAAATATGTGAGCACGTAAATTTTGTTTTTCACATACATATTTTAAGATATGTTTAGACACATTTTTAGACAAAAAATAAAGAAAGATGGACACATTTAAGATAAATACATTGTTTTGTTTTTTTAAAGAATTTGTGTGGGCAACTGTCATCTATATATTAAAGTTAGACACATTGGACACATGAATGTAATTTTTCTCATCTCATTTAATAATTGATATAATTATATTATTGTTATTTTAAATAATTTTTCAACTATATCATTAACTATTCGAATTAAAACTATTATGTTAATATTAATTATTTAGCTTAATATTTGTGACAATAAATTTTTTACTAGCA